TAAAACAAAGTATTTCAGAGATTTTGTTTACCTAGGGTTTGGTTTAGATTTCCTTGTCTCGTGGACAACGGTAAGATTTTATTATTTTCATGTTATTGCTCTTTTGTAATTTTATAAAAACCTCCTTATGAAGAAGAATAATGTATTATGAAGTTTGTGAGATTATTAGAGAATTCTCAGTACCCTAAACCCTTTACCTTTTAACCACTCTCCTCATATATCAGAGTTGTTTAATTAGAATGTCTTCTTGTAAAGAAAAAGAGAGACTAATCCCAAGATTTCCTAACATGAAACGTTCGTATTTGACTTCATCGCTTGATTGTCTTCTATCAATAACCAAAATTTTGTCCATCTCACTCAATTTTATTCAAAAGACAATTTTTAATTAAGTAACTCTTGGCACTTGAAGCTGATATCCCAAGTATGTAGTTTATATGCATCATATTTTTGTACACGAGATAGAGAGCAATATTCACTTCAAGCCCCTCACATTACTCCTCAATAATCTGCATGCATGCCTATAATAGAAGCTCCATTTTTACAATGACAATTATTAGACCACAAAATAGTGAAATATGCTTGATGTATGACACAACATGTTAATTAGGACTTCAAATGTAGCAATATATAACTAATTCCAGATCAAGACCAAGCAAACATTTAACTTCTTCTACAAGTGAATGCCTAACCAAATAACTATACGATGCAAACGATGTCATCCTTGAAGCTAATTGCAAAGCTCTCCACATATCTCCCGGGCAAAATAATAACCAACAAGGGTGCTCTGACCATCCTAAGCACTAAAGGTTTTGTCACTGCTCCCACAAGATCTTTGCAAGTGAGTTCTAATTCCTTGCATATGTATATGTTCCATTTGTAGCGACATGGTGTTTCCTTTTGTATCTAATCGATATTTTGCCTTAATTGATGTTGCTTGATCGATATTTTGAAATATTAAAACAAACATCTGATCAAATATTGGGAACATATCAACTACCTGTAGGTTGGTATGCAATACTATTCGGTCACTAGCTTTATAGCAATTTTGTTAGCATGCAGTAGGCACAGTTTTGTTAACAAAATAACTTAACCTAGCAGAACATTTCTCATTTCACCTAAAAGTTTAACATTATTATTTAATTGTTCAATAAGCTGTATTTTTAAAAGTATTGTGAGTGATAACCAGTGTAAAAGTGTTTGCTTTTAACGTAAAAGTGATATGTTGTATATAATAACAATATAAACATGACAGTGGGGGTGGTGGCGACAGCAGCAGTGGCAAAAACAATGTTAGCCGTGGTGAAGGTATGGGGGTATGATGGTTGGGGACCAAGGGTAATAATGATGGTAGAGGCGGTGGTGATGGTTGTTGTGGTGGCAATAATTGTGATGGTAATGACGGTTGTGGTGTAAGGTTAGAGTTGGTAGTAGTAAGTAGTGGCTGTTACTTTATTCTCTAAGGTATAAAATGTCATTGTTAAAAAAGCTAATGAGGATATCGTATGAATTGAAACTATTAAGTAAATGCTTAACTCCGCTTTTTATTAAAGCAACTTTTAAAAGTAACCCTACAATCTGATTTTAAAAGCATTGTTTAAAGGCTTCACTTCTAAAATAAGCTAGATATTTTAATTTTACCAAACATTTTTTTGTTGCTTAACTTTAATATGAAGCAGTTTTTATAAAAAATTAAAATAAATTAAAAGAATAGCAAACGGGGCCTTAGCAAGACCACAATGATATGAAACTAATTTTTGTTGGAACATGAATGAAAATGTTAATATTGTCCTTTAACCTTAAATAAATTCAATAAAAAAACCTTAAATAAATAAATAATATATCTAAAACCTGCTTTTCTTACTTCCAAATTATTGTGCATGTCTGAAAGATTATGGTTATTTATGTTACTAGATGCTACTGCTTAACAAAGTAGGGTAAATCACAGTCGAAGAAGGAAGATGACAAGGCAGACGCATGTGAAAAGACAAAAGAAGCAGCAGATGCAGTCAAAGATGGAGCCAAAGAAGTGAGACATACCTGTGAGTTCATGAGAGACACAATGGAAAATACTACCAAAGCCGTAAGACTCAATAAATATACCCACTTACATGATCATGCTTAGATTAGTACAAGCACAATGATTTGAAGGAAAAATTATTGGATCGTTAGTGTAACTGTAGAAAGTTTTCAATGCAAAATTTACTTGCGGGAGTTGAGCATGTGAAAGGAAAACTTAAAAAAAAAGTTCTTTTGTTTTGCTAAGCAATCAAATATCCACTTCATATAAGCAGACCATTTTTTTCCACTCACAAGTGCAGTTTGATTAAAAAAAAAAAGAAAAAAAATTAGGTTCTTATCCCCTTTTTTTTTTTTTTTTTTTTGAATTGATTGAAACCTTATTCATTCTCAAATTTTTGTCAAAGTCTTTGGCTTTTGTCCACATCATTATTTAAAAAAAAAAAATTTACATGTAAGCATATCTAAATTTTATAATAAAAAAATTATTCAACCATTTTCGAATATATTCATAAAGGTTTATATTTAGTATAATTATATTTATAGATTAAATTTTTTGTATCATATATTCTATTTTAATTTGTACCATTTTTTAATTTCAGATATTTTTTTATTTATACAAATTTGCTTTCAACTTTATTTTGTATCCATATATTTTATTTATTTTTATATGCTCATAATTTGAGCTTTTATTTGTGCCCGTAAATTTTTTCTATTTTTACCAATAGGTATTCATAATGTACTGATTTTTTTTTATATAAATAGTGTATGTCACATCCCGGCCCTGGGCGGAACACTTCCCGGGCCCACTTCACCACCGTAGCACGATATTGTCCGCTTTGGGCTTACCATTCCCTCACGGTTTTGTTTTTGGGAACTCACGAGCAACTTCCCAGTGGGTCACCCATCATGGGATTGCTCTAGCCCCCTTCTCGCTTAACTTCGGAGTTCCGATGGAACCCAAAGCCAGTGAGCTCCCAAAATGCCTCGTGCTAGGTAGGGATGAGAATATACATATAAGGATCACTTCCCTGGGCGATGTGGGATGTCACAGTGTACCACTTTTTTATATGCAAAATGTACACTATTTTTTAAATGTCCCATTTCTTTTAATTTAAATCTATTCAATTTTATATTTATAATGCACCAATGTTTTATAATAAAATATACTATTTTTTAATTTAAGAAGTACCATATTTAAAATTAAAAAGAAAAATTTAAAAACCTCACAAGATTTCACACAATCAAAATTTGAGGAAAAACTTAAATTCCTATTTAGTATTAATCTTTGCATAATTTTAGAGAGGAATTATTGTTTTTTCGTTATTAATTTTCTTAATCAATACTGAAAGTTAACATTCGTTCTTCAATCAAAATATTTAAATTAATAGGGTTTCAATCTAAGATTTTGTTTGACAAGAGGCCGGAACAAAAGTTTTGCAAATAATAATAATAATAATTCAAACCATTAGTGTTAAACGCGTTTGAGGATAATGAAATGATACCTTCACATCCTTTTCTACTCCTACATGCATTTATCCCATACGATACAAATAAAGACAATAAAGGGCCACAATACAGAGGGGTGAGAAGATAAAAAAATAAATGTGCAGAATTTATTGTCTTGAAGAATTAATTTCGGGGTTTGCTACAATACTTACATGTATTTTGTACAATCATCATCTAACGGTTAGATATATTTATATGAATATATTTATTTAATAAAATCACCATATGACTGTTGAGATGGAAATTGTATTAAAGACATGCAAGTATTGTAGTCAATAGTGTTACTTTCTCCCAATTTGAGTCAAATTTTATCTCTAATCATAAAGATTTATGTCCATGAACTTCGCTCACCTGCACAATTTTTTTCCCCCACATATGAATGGTTGAGATTAACCAACTCAATCAACTTGAAGGCATAAAGTGAACTGCTAACCTTTTGTATATGAGGCCGAAGTGCAGGCCTGGTTCATTTCATTTTGGGCCAGCCTGTCTAAAAGCAATATTGTTATTTGTTCATTTGTTTGTTTAATTTTTTGGATTTGGCTACAATATTTGCATGTATTTAATACAGTTACTATTTCGACAGTCATAATGTAATTATTAAAATATATATTGACATAAATATATCTAGCTGTTAGATGATGATTGTATTGATAATTTATGAGATGATACCTAACTATAGGAAGCAATTTTTTTTTTTCTCAAATTTTTTTGAATGTTTTGGATATCAGATGAACAAAATTGCAAAAGAGACAAAAGAGAAGGTAACTGAAACAGCAGAAACCCTCACGAACAAAACAAAGGGCACCGTCTCAGGCGCATGGGGAGTTGCCAAGAATCCTGTAGAGATTATCAAGGACAAAGTAGTGGACAAGTGAAAAACAAGAGTATGAAGATTAACAACAACAAACAAGCTAAATCAGATTTACAAATTCTTATCAACTATTATCATTTAAAGTGAGTTTCTTTAAATAATAGTATTGTTGGCTGGGAGATCCACACATAATTCTCCCTGCGAGAATGATGAAAATTTGTTTTAATTTTAACGTGCTTTAGCAAGGTCTCGAGCAGGCTCTTGGGCTCTCTTACATAGTTATTGCCCGACGGAACCATGATCATTCGTCGGTTACTTAATTAATATTTCATTAGGCAACTACCACAATTTGTCAATTAAGTTCAGAAAAAGCCGCCTGAAAATTTGCTTCAAAATCAAATTCGCCCCGAATTCTTAAGTTGCCTAAAAGAATTTGCTTATATTTCGTTGGGCAATCAATATTTCCCACCATTTTTTCCCAACGAAAATCTTTGAATTTTCTTGAAGTTTGCCCGAAGAATGAATCGTTTATCCGACGATAAGTTAGATTAACGAACATGTGTCGCAATTTTAAAAAGACATACCCGACGAACCTTCTGCCAGGTAAGAGTTTAAAATGTTATAACCTTCTAGCATCTCCCTCCTTGCCGTTTCAACCTCTTTCTCTGTGCTCTCAAGCTCTCCCTCTCTTTGCTCTCAAACTATCCCTCTCAGTATTATCTCACTCTCACTCTCACTCTCGCTCTTGGTTCTCTCACTCTCACTCTCCTTCTCGGGTCCCTTAGTTCTCTCACTCTCACTCTCCTTCTAATCGGCCTCCGCTCTCAAACCTAGCAACACTTTCCCTCTCATCGGCCCCCACTCTCAAACCTAGCAACATTCTCACTCTGTAATTGTAAGTTTATTTCAATTTTGTTTTATTTGTTAATTTGTTTTGGGTTTGTGAAATTGAAATGGGCTTGTGTATACGTTTGGGTTTTTTAAATTAAATTTGTGACAATGAAATGGATTTGTGAATTCGTGAATTGGGTTTGTATGTGAATTTGTGAATCGGGTTGTATGTGAATCTGTGAACATGCACGTGGGGTTTCTTCTAGATAATGAAATTAGGATAGTGGGTTTGTGATAAAATGGGGTCAACAACAAATTAGAATTTGGTGATAATATGTCAATCTGTGAATTGGGTTTTTGAATTGGAATTGGGTTTTGGAATTAGAATTGGGTGTTAATTCTCAATGCTCTCAATCTGTGAAAATGAAAATGTCAAATGAATATGTAAAAGTGAAATTGTGAATTCATTAAGTGAAAGTGGAATTGTGAATTGAATATGTGAAAGTCGAATTGTGATTTCAAAATGATGGATATTTGTGTATGCGATTTGTGAACTGAAAATGATGCATATAGGTTGAAAATGAATTCATAGTGGATTATTAGCTAAATGAAAGTGATGCAAATAGGTTTAAGAAATATTTGAAATGGTGTATTTTTGCAGATGGCTCCCTGATTGATCACGTGCCATTGGTCTGCTTCATCTTTGGCTCAGAGTGAGCAGTCGACCCCAATGGTACTGTGGTGGCCAGTGGTATCCAAGCACTGACTGCAGAGTTGATAGCTGACACCAGTTCGACCACACCATTACCCCTTTCTCCCTGATCTACTTAGCGACTCCACATCACCCGTCACCACCAACCACCTCCAGCACCGTTGGCTATCACTTCATCCCCACTCTGGTAGCGTAGAGGCTGAATCAGCCCTCGTGGATGGAGAGGAGACGAGAGGATAACTCCCCACCGGCCCAAGGAATAAAAAGACTCGGGGCATTTTGTCAGGTCTGAAGACAAACCAGATCACTCGAACTACCTAGGCTCCGATCCAGATTGTAAGCCTCCCCAACCACCGTCGAGCCTGTGCTAATGTCAACAGTTTGTTGACTCACGACTGCGAGGCCATCATCCGTAACAAATGCCCCATGGATGCTGATTCATAGATTTCATATAGGCAGGAGGTTTGCCAGGAGATGTACTGCCCAGCTTTCAGTAAGTATACAACTACTTTGTCAAAGTCATAATATTTTTAAAAATTAATTAACTGTCGTTTTAAATTAATTATTTGTTCTTCTATGTGAAAATTGTAGTCCAACTTTTCATGGAACGAGCTTGACAGAGGTTGTATGGAGTACATTGACTGGATCTGGAAGTTGCGGTTCAAGGAGTGGAAGTATGAGCTCCACAAGTACTACAAGTATTGTCCGACACTTGAGGCAGTGCAGGGGACCCTCCCAAGGAGTTTCTGGAGAGGGTGGGCGAGTGGGACTAAGTTTGGCACTCATTTTTGAGAGTGAAAAGTATAAGGTAATAAATATTTATATTTATATTTTTAATTATTATTTTATAATTATTTTTTCAACTTCATCAAAGATGTGTGTTATTTAGGATTTTGGGGTATCCCATGCACCGCAAAAAGGAAAAGAACGAACAAACATGTAATAGAAGTGAGATAATAAACCTTGAAATTTTTTTATTATAAAGAGAATAGGGGTTTTGACAAGTGGTGTGATTAGATCCGAAAAGAATTGCCTACATATCTCTGGGAATGAGAATCAAATCATTGGTGTAGTTCTTTAAAAAGATGATACAATGCAAGTTTTACATCCGGGATTATCTTTGACAATAGCCTATGGTGAGGTGTTAAGGGGAGTTCTCCAGGGATTTGCCTTCGCGCAGATTGTTGTGTTGGAAATCTCTAGTAGTACCACCTAAGCTGAGCAATATTCTGCCTTTTGGTAATCCAAGTTCCATCAATGTGTTAAAGATTGTAGGTTCCTTTCCCTCCTACTCCAACGACTTTGTATGGTCTTTCCTAGTTTGCCTTCTCTTAGTACCTTGGTGTTCTTAAATACTTCACTTAGGACCAGATCTCCAATTTGAAGGCTTCGAGGTTTAACACCTTTGTTGAAGTACAACCGGATTTGCTGTGGTAGACGCCAAGTTGGACTTGGGCTCATTCTCTGTGTTCTTAGGAAAAGTGGAGGTTGGGCTTGAGGATTCCAGCATTTTTCAATACGGTTCGTTCTCTGGTATACAACTTTCACATCACAATAACTTGGACTGGAATAATGGCTTCTATTCCATAGGTTATGAAGAATCCAAGCAACTTCTCTAGCAACTTGCTTTTCTTCTCAAGCCTTTTTTTTAGTCACAGTCGGATACTCTTGTTTGATGCCTCTGCTTGCATATTGCCTTATGGGTATCGAGGAGTAGAGGTAAAATGACAAATGCCGAATTCCTTATACCAATCCGTGACTTCAGAGCTACTAATTTGCAGCCTATTATCGGTAAGTATGGTATGGGGAATTCTGAAATGGCAGATGATGTTCTTTCGAACGAAGGACTTGACAACTGCCAAAGTGATTCTACACAAAGCCTCTATCTTGACCCACTGTGAGAAATAATCTGATGCCATTATCAGGATACTAATTATTTCCCTAGGCTTTCTTCAACGAACCGACGAGATCAATGCCTCGTTACATGAAAGGCCATGCTCAGTCAAAGTGTTATGCTTTTATGCGTGTTGATAATTTATGGGAGTGTACCTTTGGTATTTATCGAAAGTCTAGGCATAATCCAAAACGTCATGTCTAATTGTGGGCCAGTAGTATTTAGCCGTTAATGCCTTTGTTGTAAGTGATCTTCTGCTGACACTGTTTCCACATATGCTAGAGTGGATGTCACTGAGGCTTTGTAAGATTGTCTTTAGAAGTGATGCATAGGGTTTGAGCTTCGAAGTAGGAACACCTGTAGAGTTTCTCATGGATGACGGTGTATCTCAAAGCCCTTTGGACCAGTTTTCTGGCCAAATGGCGATCTTCGGGTAATTTTCCATCTTGGATGTAGTTAATGATTTTGTCTATCCAATTCTCCATTGTATTGATAATAACAACCATGTCTGGTTCTAGCTCGTAAATGGTTGGGGCTTCAAGGTACTCAAAGGGAATCGTTCGTTGGAGCGAGTAATCAACATTGGATGCGATGTTTGCTAATGCATCATCATGTGTTGTTCACATCCCTTCAAATTTGCTTGATCTCGTACCTTTCAAGCCCTTCAAGTAATGCGTTGGCTTTGGTTAAGTAAAGTCCTATTGTGGGATTGTGAGCAAAGTAGTTTTTTCTACTTGGTTGACAATTAGCATCGAATCACAATGAATTGAAAGTTCTTTAACTTGGAGCTCTGCTGCTACCTTGAGTTTGGCAAACAGCGCTTCGTACTCCACATCATTGTTGCTTACCTGGAATCTGAGTTCCAAGGCTCCTTTAAGTATGGACCCTGTCTGGCATTATCAAGACCATTTCTGCTCGTGCTATGTTCACATTTAACGATCCATCCATGTAGAGTTTCCAAAGAAAAAAGATTCTCAAGTGATTTCTACAGGTCTGTGAAGGTCGTGACATTTTGATTTTCTGAAGTAAACTATGCTAAAAAGTCCATAAGCACTTAAGTTTTGATCGAAGTCTTAGGCCGATAAACGATTTCATGTTGCCCTAGGTAGATGATTTATTTAGCGATTTTAGATGACGTGTTAAGCCTATGTTAGATCGAAGTGGGTACTCGGTCATGTAAAATAACTTAGAATTACTAAAAGTATGTCTGGAGCTTTCAGGTTGTTGCTACTAATGTCAGCATAAGCTTTTCATCTTCGGGTATCAAGTTTCTAGTTTGAGAATAGTTTTAGACATGCAGTACACTAATTTTTACTCCCTTAAGAATCAGAGTTGCACTAACTATGTAGTTTGACATTGCTAAGTACAAATACAAATCCTCCATGTCCACTTGTTTGGATAGCAAGTGAGTTGGGCAGGTACTCATTTAACTTTGCTTCCTCGCATTTGTTTGTTCTATGAAACTTCACAGTTTTTCCTCTTAAGATCTGTATCTTCTTTACAATTCTGAGAGACTTCATTTTCGTAATTACTTTGATCTGGTCGAATTGGCTTCTGTTCCATGTTTGGTGACCAAGTATCATAAGAATTTGCTTGACGTCACTCTGAAAGTACACTTCTGGGTTGAGTTTCATGTTGTACTTTCAGAGTAGGTCAAAGGATTCTTGAAGGTGAATAAGATAGTCCTTCCTTTGTTTTCTTTTCTTTTAATGAACATGTCTTCCACATAGACTTCCATCATTTCTTCAATCTTTTCCCTAAAGATCCGATTGACCAGCTTTTGATAGGTTGCTCTGTGTTTTTAAGACCAAAAAACATTACCCTGTAATAGTACGTACCTCAATCAATGATGAAGAATGTTTTCACCATGTTTGGCTTGTACATCTTGATCTAGTCGTAGTCGGAGTAGGCATCTAAAGCTCACCAAGTCGTGCCCCGTCGTAGAGTCTACATAGACTCTCCACTTCCCATTCTTATTTTGTACGAGCACCAAGTTAGCTAGCCATTATGGGTGGTGAACTTCGATAATAAAGTTGCATTCTTAAGTTTATCCATCTCAGCTTTGATGATTTTGCTTCACTCCGATCCATGACTAAATTTTCGTTAGATAACTGGTTTTGTGGTTCTGTCCAAGTCATGGCCATGACAATTACTGAAGGTCGACTCTCGACATGTCTTCTGTGGACTAGGCAAACGCATCCTTGTTGGCCCATGGGAAGACATTGAAAAGCTCATTCTCTCAATTAGACAGCTTTAATCTATTTTGGCTTTGCGTTCCAGCTTGTTGGGATTGAGACTGATGTTGACAACATCATCCTCCTGCTTTGGATTCTGGAGTGTTGTTGTCTTGATGGTCAAGGTTTAGGTCAAATTTATTTGTGGCTTATCTGTTGACCCTCAATGATTGATATGTTTATTCATCCATGGGAATGGTAGAGCTTCATTCTCCTTGTGGATCATATTCCACGGCGTGGTATCGTGCTGCTACTTGATCACCATTAATCTTATTTACTACGCCAGGTGTAGGGCAGCGAAGTAGTTGATGGTAAGATGAAGGAATCACCCCCATCTTATAAAGCCATTTTCAGCCAAGTATAGCATTGTGAGGAGTCGGGCAACCTATGACGTGGAAAGCCACTAGGTAATTGTATGGTTCCACCTGCACCTTCAGTTCCACTATCTCAAGGGATTGGACATGAGTTCCATGGTTTCATTGTCCCGAGGGATCAGACAGGAGTTCCATTGAAGGCATGGAGAGTGGTCTCCATCGTATGTGGTGGAGGATGCACAAATTCGTTTACCTATAAAAGGACAAACAACCGTAAGTGGCCAAAGATCGGGTGGTATGCTAGTCAAATGCTCTCTAATGGTTAAGTTAGTAAGCAATATTAAGAGACTCAAGCAGTAGGCAAGATAATAAGTTAGCCATAATTGCATTACCAGATACGAACCTTATATGGGTGTATTTATACTAGTTAAGGTAGAGACCTTTTAGGATATGAAATTCGCATTAAACTGAGAGAATCCAGAGGATATCTAGAAGTAGAGATTGTATATTCTTAGGAGTTATTAGTTGCGGTGACGCAAATTCTTCGATTACAAGGACTCCAAGAATATAGGAACGTGTTGATTCCTTACTAGGTTAGGTTTTCATATCTTGCGAAACAAGCATGATCAATCTTAGTAAAGTTACTGGACGTTGCCCATTATGTTGGAACAGGAAGATGGTGGCATCGATGGTCCGTCTGTGTAGGCAATTGAAGTTGTTGAGTCTGTGGCTGGACTTTTGAGATATTTGTATTCCAATCCATTTCACTCTGGCTCTGGAAAATCATGGTCCCGCATTAATCAAATTTTATTGGCTTCTAAGGAGAACCCACATGTACTAAAGTAAGCCAATTCAAGATTGTTTTTAGGGGAAACTTGATATAGGTCCAATTTTTTGAGCCAATAATAGTAATAGTCTAATTTATTAAAATAAGTTCAATTCCTTAAATCTTATTATTTTATTATCAATAATTATCTCTTAAATGATAAGATTTATTATAAAAATCAAATTTCTTCCTAATAATTTCTTTGGTTATTTATTTATTTTGTTCTTTCTTGTTCTTTATCTCTTTTTAAACCCCATTTATAGATTTTAGTTTTTATTTTTATAATCAACCTATATCATAGGCTAATTATATTTATCTACCTATATAACAAATTCTTTTTTATAATCAAGTACGATTCATGTGTCTTGCTTGTAGATATATTATGTTTTTTCTACCTTTTAGTTAAGTTTCATATCTTACTTATAGGTATGATATACATTCATATATTTGTTACTTAAGTTAGGGATAGAATGATTTGCAGATAGATTTATGTCAATATATTATTTTTTTTTTTGTTATAAGATATTAATTATATTTTTTGGGGTTGAAAATTCATAATATTATAAGATTTTAATTGATTTTTAATATTTTTAGAAAATATAAAATGAGTATTAAAAAAATAGATACATATAATTAGGTAATTGGACATACTCTTAAAAACCATTTATGTTTTTGGACCTAGATCTAAAAGTCTTTTTTTTATATAGGTTTTCACCAGCATTTAATGGGTTAAACA